TCAGGAGATGGGGTTATAGGCCAGCTCTCAGGATGGGACTAGGAAATGGTGCTTTCCCCCTCTAACACACCTGGTGGCTTCAGGCTGTAGTCTGCCCGCCTCCTAGTATAGGCTGGTGAGGCGCGTGCCCCCACCTCTGGCAGTTTATTAGAGGAGATGGGGGGTGTTGATGACTATATCTTAAACTTCTGGAAGCTAGCGTGATATGTTAGTCCTGAGTATATGCTTTTGGCTGTGTATTGACCCTGTGGATTTGTGTCTCTAAGAAAAGAAGCTGAGCGCCTTACCCGGTGCAGTCCTGCACCTCTTTTTCCCTCGCCGGAGCCATCTGGAAGGGAACTCACACTGTTTAGCATCCATCTTGACATACACCTCCTATTGCCACCACTGCTGCCGCACCGCCGCCGCCACCTCCACCACCGCTGCCACCCCCCACCCCGACCCCCTGCCCCCACTCCCCACCCCAACCTTCCTGGGAGTGAAGACACGGAGTCCCTACCAAGTGTTACACTGTAGGGAACAAAGAAAGCCAATGTTTCTTCTGTCTAGATTGCTTGTCATCCACCTCTCCATATCTCCCCAGTTCCCACACCCTGGTGCCCTGCGTCTGCCTCTCTTTCATCCCTGTGTGAGAGGCCCATGTGAAATCTCTCATTCTTACGTGAGTTTTATAAAGATGTACACTGTGCTTAACCCCCCACCCATCCTTGGTAACCCCCAGGGCAAGAAAGCGTCCCTGAGTGGCGAGCTCTCCCAGCAAGGGCAAGGGGAGCTCCTTCCGCAGATGCCAGCCCCCTTCCTTATCTGTCCTCCAACAGGACCAAGTTGTTTAATGTGCCAGAGATGCAGCCAGTGGGAACCCTGACCCCCATGGCCACTGCAAGCCAGAGCGCTGACGTGGTCTTCCTCTCCTCCCAACTTCTTGATCCTGTGCCTTCACCACTCAGACCCCGCCTGTGTCATTCCAGCGCCATCCTTCACCTCTCCCTCAGCCTCATGGAGAGGGAACATTTTCTAATGTCTGTATATAGTATATATACCACATAAAATATATAAATTATATATATATATACTAATTTATGTCTTGTTTTTCAAACAAGAATGATTAAATCTATTCATCTTACTATCCCAATAAGTCTTTGCAG